AATAATGAAATTACCACTTTTGTAGGTTCAAAATAATCAAATATCAGAAATTCTCTAAGATTCAACCAGAAAATTTGAATAACAGCGGAATTTTATCTTAAAGAGTCCTCGCAACTCACTTTGAATCATCTTATTCGCTCAATTGACCCCACCCATTCTGCCAGTTAACTTCTTTTTCTGTTTTGTTTTTAATGTACACTGTCTAATACTAAGCCTTCTAGAGGAAAGTTCCAAAATAAAGCCAACCCAATAACCCTCCAAGATAAACCATTAAGTTAGTTTAATCATATGGAAACAACTAGCATTGTTGATACAACCGTGAACAAGATGGAGGCAACTTTTCTCTCAGGGAATTTGGAGTTGTGTTTTAGGCTGGAAAACAAGGTTGTGTGCATGCAGTGACTGTAGTGATCATTTCAGCTCACCTAACAGGTCAAATGACTGGTTCAATTTTCTTTTTTTTAACCAAATTGACCAAATTCTCAAATTTATTAAATATACCATCCAAACAAACCCCGTTGCCTTTGAGTTGACTCCAACTCGTGATGACCCGGTGTGTTACAAAGTAGAACTGTCCCATAGAGTTTTCTTGGCTATAATCTTCACAGAAGCCATCCGACAGGCCTGGGTGGGTTCAAACTGCCAAACTTTAGGTTAGTAGTTGGTCTCAAACAGCTTGTGCCACCCAGGCTCCTAAATCTACCATCACTCTACTGTCGATAAGAACTAGCCTTGGCCCAAGCAGAGCTAAGAAATTTATTTTGAACTATCCTTGCTATTTATTTAGCCAATAGCTGACCAAAAAAACCTGGCTTAGGAGAAAATGATTCCTGAAGTATGTTTAGACAACTCTAATGGTGCAAGGACCCTTCTATCTAAAACATGAGTCACAATGCTGGGTGACTTTAAAGGAAAAGGGTACTCCCAATAAAAATTGAATCTACTTTTTTAAAGAAGAGGAGCAATAAATAAAAAGAATTTCTAAATAAATACAGCAGTGGTTATTCACCCAAGCAAGAGCTCCCCACAACTGTTTCTGGGGGATGTTTAGCGGCAGAAGTCATCGCTAGTCCAGAAAGTCTGAGAAATGCCTTGGGAGAGAAATTAAGTCACTCTCTGAGATGAGCACAGCCAGGTGCCTGGAGGGCAAATCAAACCACTGGTGAAAATGCCATCAATGAACAACTTGACTGGCATCACCTAAACACCTCCCTCGAATCCAGCTCCAAGTAATTTTAGCAAAGGTTAGGTGTTCAAGAAGTTTGCTTTAAATAGCCAGTCACTCACTGTGCTATTGTTGTTAGTTACCTTTGAGTCGATTCTGACTCACTGGGCACACACACCAAAACCCGGTGGCCACCCTGACCAAGGACAACCAGGTGGATTTTGTTTCTAATTTCCTCCTCTTAACTATTAATAATATATATATTTTTAGACAAGTTTTCACTTTGGGGGAACACTCCTCTACAGATAAATGTAAAAAATAAAAATAGTAGACGTAATGGTGATCCGACAAACAGCCAAAGCTTTGACCCTCATTAGCGATCCGGCTGACCAGCGCAGTCACTGTTGTGTTCCTGAGATGTTAGGGGTGCTCGTAAATCAAAAGGGGATGAGTTGGATTTCAACAGATAGAGAAAGTGCTCACTGCTGCTTTGCAACACCACTGAGAGCAAATTAAGAATCCCAGTTATATGTTTCTATCTTCTGTTGCTGGCCATTGAGTAGAAGAAACCAGACCAGGAAGTAATAATAGTAATAACACAACTTCCATTTATTGTCTGTCCACTGTGTAGCAAAGGGGCCCTGGTGGTGCAATGGTTAAGTGCTTGGCTGTTAACTGAAAGGGCAGTGGTTTGAACCCACCAGCTGCTCCATGGGAGAAAAGACCTGGTGATCCGCACTGTATAGCCTAGGAAACCCTATGGGGCAGTTCTACTCTGTCATATAGGGTCACTAGGAGTTGGAATCAACTTGACGGCACCTAACAACAACACTATGTCACAGGCACTTTACATTCACTTCTCGTCTTTGTAACTCGGCTAGGGAGCTATTATTATCCTTACTTTAAAGATGAGAAAAATGAGAAAACCAAGGCCTAGAGAGGTTAAGTAACTTGCCCAAGGTTGCACAGGTAGGAAGTGGCAGCACTGGGATTCCATCTGTGGTTGGCCTGACTCTTTCAACCATGTCCAGCCACCTCCCTAAAAGCAGAGCCACTCATAACCCAGGGAGTCTGCATTTCCTGAGGCTTTGTGTCAGAGCTGTATCTCCTCACCTGAGAAAGGACAAAGGCTGCATGGACCACTGGGCACTTCTTGGTGGCTGTGAAGCAGGGCGTTGGAGGCACTGAGGAGCTGAGGGCTGTGCAGGTGAATGTGTATCCTTGCCATTAGGCACGCCATCTTACCTTCTTTCAGCCTCAGACCCTGGTCATGACAGGCTCTCTCCCAGGGAGACACCCTTACTGGAGACTGAGTTATTACTTGTTTTAATCCTAAAGATCTGGGTGTTTGTATTCCAAAAAAAATGCAAATGGAAACACCTAGTAAAAAGTAGATGCTTTCAAACGTTTGGGGAACAAGTGACTTAACTGGGCAAGAAATGAGAGACGACATCAACTCAAATTCTTTCTGCAGCCTTCCCTCAAGGGGAAATTGTAGAGGTGTTGTCTCAGGCCACATGGGTGTCATTTGTGGTCCTCAGTGGTAGAGTCCTCCTTAGGTCTCCCCTTGTCTTCACTGCAACCTGTTTCTAGCCCAGGACAATGTGGAAAGCTTTTGTCTAGAAGGCTTACCTAAAAATGGCTGAAATTTCAATATCCACAAAGGCAAAGCAAGTATGATTGAAAAGTGAAAAATCCATCAATCTAAAGTTTTTTTCTCCTGTATGCAGTTCAAATCCACCAGCTGCTCCTTGGAAACACTACAGGGCCATCCTACTCTGTCCTACAGGGTTGCTACAAGTTGGAATCGACTCGACAGCAACAGGTTTGTTTTTTGTTTTTTTTTTTTGGTATGCTAGTTGTGAAGATGGGGCACGGCCTCCATCTTGTCTGCTGCCTGAAGTTTGGTTTACCATCCTTGGGGGACACCATTCAGGCAGCCTTTCATTTACTTCTCTAACTCCACTTTGCCCCTGCCTTGGCCCCAAAGCCCAACACAGACAGAATGTTCAGGTACACGCCATTGAGGAAGCTGGAGGTAAATGCTCCTCACGGTGCAGTCTGAGGTACTCGGAGTACCCCAGCCCAAAGCCAGAGTCTGACGCTGTTGCCATCAGCTGTTTCCCCCTGAAATCACTATATTCTCAGGCTGTAATGGTGTTATGGATCCTCTTGTCACCTGCACACAAGGATGGGCTGCTCTGGGCTCCCTCTGGTGCTCTCACCCAGCAGCTCATTGTGACTCATACCAACCATGGCTTTTCTGAGAAGAGAGCTGTGATCTTACAGAAAACTCTTTGATCACTCAAGCCCTCGGAGCCCCCGAGATGCTAGGCGGGGGTTGTGTGTGCTCCCTGGTAGGAATAGAAGTGCCAGTGGCTTGTCCTGCCTATCTCAACATTGTCGCTAAACACCCTCCTACTCTGAGGTTAGCTGTAAAGTGGAGGAACGAACTTTGTTGGTGGCTTTCGGTCCTATTTCTTTATATTCAGATACAGCCTACCTCATTTCTTGCAAAAAATGCTACAACATCAACCCTCTGAGACAGTCAAATTTGTCTTTTTTTCACTTGTTTTCCTCCTCCTCATGATCTGGACTAGAAAACATGGCAAAAGTTAAAAGTCTTGTAGAAAAGTCAGGCTCCCGTGAACTGGAATGAGGTGAGGAGGACGTTGTCTTGTTGGTTGGATGCCATCTTCCCTTCTTCCAGCCTCAGACCCTGGTGATGATAGGCTCTCTCCCAGGGAGACACCCTTACTGGAGACTGAGTTATTACTTGTTTTAATCCTAAAGATCTGGGTGTTTCTATTGCAAAAAAAATGCAAATGGAAACACCTAGTATAAAGTAGATGCTTTCAAACGTTTGGGGAACAAGTGACTTAACTGGGCAAGAAATGAGAGACGACATCAACTCAAATTCTTTCTGCAGCCTTTCCTCAAGGGGAAATTGTAGAGGTGTTGTCTCAGGCCACATGGGTGTCATTTGTGGTCCTCAATGGTAGAGGCCTCCCTAGGAGGTGACTGAACAAGTCATGTCCTCTCATCTGTCCCCCATGTTCCGTCGGCATCTCTGGCTTTTTGGCTTCAGAGAAAGAGCTGCGTGAGATGTGGTGGGTGAGTCACTGGGCCTGGGAAGGGTGTGTCACAGGGCAGCCCTGGCTGTGGGGTGTAGGGGCAGCCATGACGGGGCTGAGCCCAGACACGGACCCCTAAAGCTCTGAGGTGGGAAAGTGCTCCGCGGAAGCTGCAAACTCAGTGCCTGTTACACATGCCACATCTCTCCTCACCAACCCCGTTTAGTCCCTGGCCCATCCAGGTTTTTAGAGCTAGTCAGGGCTATCCTCCATGACCCTGTTTGTCTGACCAGTGAAATGTTCTTTGTTGGCTAAGGAAGAAGGAAAGGGCAGTGCAATGGAAACAGCAAAGAGGTGAAAGAAGAAGACATAGAGACTAGAAAACATTGCAGCATGAAACGCGGTCTGGCTGACATTTTCTGATCCCATCCAGCTGCTGTTAAATAATCCTCCTCTTTTTCTCCACACTGGGTCTGCCTCAGTTATTCTTCGGCTTCCTTCCTCCTCATCTTTCCCCTCCACAGACTTTTCTCTCAGTGGAATAATCTATATTTTAGGCAGCTGGCTCTAAATTGACGCCCAGTTTGGCTGTAATAAAGCAGATGCCAACACCAGTACCCCTCCCTGCTCAGCTGCCCATTGATTTTGGGCGGATAGGATTCGAAGGAGACATCAGCTCCTCAAACCATTACCTCTTCCCCCCTCCAGCACACACACAAAGAGTTTCTAAAATTTCCCTGCCATCGTCCAGTCGGCCTTACCTGTAATTGGGAACTGTGTCTGCAGGACGGCCATGATAACAAACACCTTCCACTTCATCTTGTCTTTCCCCCCAGGATGGTGCTGGGAGGCAGAGGCTCTGGCAGCAGTGGCTGGGATGATGAAGAGAAAAGAAGTCTCTGTTGGCTTTGTTCTGCTGCTGCCTCCTCAGGAAGTGGAGGGCTATGGGGCCTTTGAGAAAGCACCTGCCAACAAGGCCAAGTAACTCACACACACCCTCTTGATTCACAGGCAGGAAGCTCTGGAGGTTTGAGGGTTTGGGGTGTGTGTGTGTGTGTGCCTGTGTTTGGCTTTTTCTTTCATTTAAAAATTATTTTATTTTCCTTTTTCTAACTCCTGTCTGTTTTTTATCTAGTTCCTATCTGGATTGGTGAGCCCAACGCATGCAAGAACCCTTGCTATTTTTATAGCCCCTCAAATATTCTACAGAGATTGGTTAAATGACAGAGCTATGAATTCAGAAGGGGGAAAAAAAACCCCAAACCCTTTGCCATTGAGTCAATTCCAACTCATAGCGATCCTATAGAGGCAGGCTAAATATACAGACGGATTGCCTGGGCTTTAGTGCCATCTCTACCACCAGCTTGCTGTGTGGCCTTGAGAAAGTCACTCAACATCTTTGCCTTCCTTACATGAAGTAAAGAGCTGGAGCAGACCTGAAGTTGCAGATCTGAATTTGGCCTGAGTTTGAAATTCGATGGCTTGTAGTATTTCAAACACTTTTTAGTTGTCAATATTTAAACATTGGAGGAATTTACAGTGGTGATTTAAAAAAGACAAATGCCAAGAAATAAACTTAATAAAAAAGTGTAAGATTTATATGAAGAAAACTTTAAAACATTACTACTGAAGGACACATGAAGGACTTAGGTAAATAGAAAGGTATATCCTACTCTTGAATAGAAAGACTCTCTCTTAAGAAGATAATTCTTGGGGACTTCTGGCAAAATGGCGCTCTAGGCAGAAGCACCACACCATCCCTCCACAGCAAAGATCTGAAAAACTAAGCCAAACAGGGAAAACAGCAATCCTGAAACCCTAAAACATCAAATGAAGAGATAAAGAACTCAGCCAAACACCAATGGAGTGAGAAAGCTGACAGAGAACAGAGAGCGAGGAGAGATTCATGCAGAGGTCCCCTATCAGCTAATGCAGCGCAGATCTGCCATCTTGGACTCCTATCAAACACCAGCAAGTAGGGGGTATGAGAAAGCAGCTTCATGGAGCTTCCAGAGGGAGACAGAACAACTGGTAATTTGCAATATATGCTTTCCCACCCCCGACCCTTCTTCACCCTGACTTAGCTTTCTCTGCTTCCCACGGCCACAGTCTCTTGTCCGGGAAGCACTGGCCGCTTGGATTCCACCTGCCTGTACTGGCTGGCTCTCTGAGTGCCATTTGTTGCTGCTTTTTTTATGCTTCTTTTGATTTCTTCCTTACCTCTCACCACCTTCCCCTCCTTTTACTCAAATACCTGGCTCCATGAGCCATCTTTGCTTCTTCCTTAGGGATTGCAGAGGTCTGTTCAGGTGTGGAGCTGCTTCCCAGTCTGGGCTGCCATGCTGGTGGGATCCCAGGGCTTTTGTTTGTTTGTTTATTTTGAATTGTTTGTGTGTTTTCTTTTCCTTTTCTTGAGTTGGGAGCCCGTTCTGGCTGGGCGGTGCTGCGCAGCTTGGAGCCTACACCCTCGGCTTGCACAGATGCCCAGAGGGATC